AGGGACGACGACACCCACGGGGGGCCAGCGGGCGAGGGACGGTCAGCCCGGGGCACAGCGGTCGGGGTGCCCCGGGGGCACTGCAGGGCACCGCATGAGGGGTACCCCGGGGGCAGCGTGCTAGGGGCACCCCCGAGCACAGCGGTAGGGACATTTCTGGTGGCACTTCCACCGTGGTGCCGGGCTGAGGTGGGGGGGATGGACCCCTGTGGCCTCTCACCTCTGTGGGGAACACGCCTGGCCCTGCGCTTGGGGACTGCTCTTACTGCGCCCCGGGGACCCCACCAGCCATCCACCCCCCCAGGGCTTGAGACCTGCCTCTGCTCCGGCCAGAGCTGTCCCCACGCTAGAGGACATCGCATGGCTGGCACGGCCCTGGGCACACTTCATGCCCCGTCACTGCACCCTGGGGCCTGAGGGACCCTGCTTGCTGGCGATGGCTTGGGGGAACTTCAGGGGCTGGCACGGCGCTTGGGGACCCCCATGGGCTGGCACTGAAGTTTTGGAGACACTCTTAGTCTGTGATTGCACTCAGGGACGCCCACGGGCTGTGACTGCAGCTGGGGACACCCATAAGCTGTGACTGCAATCGGGGACACCCACGGGCTGTGACTGCAGTTGAGGACGCCCACAGGCTGAGATTGCATTTGGGGATACCATGGGCCGGCACTGCCCACATGGGGAAAATCTCCCGGGAGAGAAGCCAGTGGAGCTCCTGACCTCCCCATCCAGCTTCTGCGACATGGTGAGGTAGGAGGGCCCCAGATCCGTGCAGGCTTCCTGGGACCCAGCTCCCCACTACCTTGCACCCTGGCGCCACTGTCCCTGGCACCCACAGGGACACCTGGCATATGCACAGCCCATAGGGTGGCATTTCAGAGTGACACAGGGCAGCACGCCACCCCTCTCCATCTTTCTGCTCTAAATAAACTGTATTCCACAGGCAAAAAAATGCAAACCCTTCAGATCCTGGCTCCTCCAAAAATAACCCATGCTTTAATAACGCTCGTAAATGCTTCTGGCGCATTCCCAGCTGCAGGGTGGGCTCCGGGCAGGGGGGGCTGGAAGGAGCCAGTGAAGGGGCCACGGGAGCCATGCGGCATGTGGGGAGGCTGAGATGGGACGGGGACAGGAGCGGTGTGCAGGCTCCCCTAGCCCATCGGCTGGAGGCCGCATCCAGCCCTTGCCTGCTGCAACTTTTCAGCACCTGTGCTCCAAGCAGAGAGGAGCAAAAGGTTTTTGAGAGCTGGAGAAAGTGGCTTTCTAGGAGCCCTCAGCCCAGGGTTGTGGGGAGCATAGGAGGGATGGGAGCAGCCGAGGACCAAGGGGCTGCTGGCACCATGGGGAAAGCAGCAGAAGAGCCACTGCTGGACTCTGGAGAGCCGCTATTAATACTGACGAATTAGGCACATATTTGGACAAGGAGAGTCAGTAACCGCCAGCACACAGCTTCTGAGGGGAGGGGGAAGATCCATCTCCCATCATTCCCGGGCGAGGATGGATTTTTTTTTCTGCAAGATGCTTTGGCCCGAGCAACTTCATGGGCTTAGTGCATGAGGGAAAGACGATGATGTGCATAGTGCAAGCAGCCAGGCAGTTGCCCTGGAGCCTTCAGATGTCCCCTCAAAAGATACAGTTTTCCCTTGCTGCCCGCTCCCTTTTGTGCCAGGCATCATGGCCCCATCCTACTGGCACAGCTAGGGCCATCCAGGTGCCCAGGCCCATGAGTCTGCCCTCAAGGCTGTCGTCTGGGGTGACCTCTGGGACAAGGGGGTGCAGAGGGGTGTGCGTGCACATCCCTCCTATTGCTGCCCCAATGCCCAGCCCTGCACTGGGCTAAGGTCTCCAAGGACAGGGACCCTCCTCCATGTCCCACTCTAGGGTCTGACCACACTCCCAGCAAAAGCCTTGTCCTGCCATTTGACAGGAACTTCCCAGGTGCAACCCATGCCGCAGCCTCTTGTGCCATTCCTGGGCTTCTCGAGAAGTTGGGCTGCAGCTTCCATGCCTGCCTCCAACTTAGCTGGATTTGGGTCCCTGCAGAGGTGCTGGTGCCTCTTGACTGTGGCTTCCCAGCTCCAAGCCTCCACATGTGCTTGTCCAAGCCTGCCTGCCAAAATAACCTCTTGCTCCAGTGGGTGAGATTTAGGGGACTGGGGTGAATTGCACCCCATGTCCCTCCCCTGGTGTTTGTGCCACCACCCCTTGCCCCTACCCCAGCCCAGAGGACACAGGAGCAGATGTGCTTGCAGCCCTCTGCCTGGGATGCTGGAGCTCCCTTGGTCCCAGGATGCTGGGATGAGGCTGGGGCTGCTGCCACACTGTGCCTGCTCGCTGTCCTTGCTGGTCACTCAGAGGGGCCCTGTGCCCGGCCGGTACCTGGGTGAGAGCCTGGTGCAGGGTCAGGCCAGCGCAGATTGTCAGGGGACAGCTGGGAGGACTGGGATGCCTGCGAGAGCCACAAATCCACCCTGGAGCCTGGCCAGGGGTGAGCATGCCACGGGGGACAGCCCCTCTGCACCCCCAGGGACGTGCCTGCAAGGGGACAGGGGTCACCGGCCGGGATGCTGCGGGATGCTGAACTCGTCGCTCGTGATGCTTGTAGCTCCTGCTGCTGGGGACAGGTCCCGGAGGCAGGGGACACGTGCCAGCCCACCTGCGTCCCCGCTCCACCCCACAGCATCCCTGCCTGCCCCGCCGCTGCTTGGGCCCCCTGAGCCCCCGCTGAGTGACAGGGTGGGAACAGGTGGGGACATGCTCGGGGCAGCTGCTGGCCGCACAGGTTGGCCCTGGGGGGCTATTTCGGGGCGTGAGCTCAGTGCCAGCAGCCAGGAGGGCTCCGGCCACATTCCCAGACCCACAGCACCAAGGGCTGCCACTTGCCCACTGGTGGGCCACCAGTGACCGGGGGGTCTCCCACCTGCACCCCTGTAGCACTCTACCCAGGGATATTTTCAGCTGGTAGCAGGAGTGGGGCCAGGACCCCAGCTGCTCACACCCCCCCCTCCAAATCTCAAATCCCCCAGCAACAAAATCCCCAGGGCCCCCTCCCGCGGTGGCAGCCCCCCCGGCAGCACCTGCGAGAGCCGGCACATGGCTGGCAGCGGGGGTCTGGCCTGCCGGGTGCCTTGGGCTGGACGTGCCTCAAATATTTTCCGTGCTGTATAAGCACTCGCGCTATCCTCCCCCGCCTCTGCCGGGAGGGCAGGTGCCCGTAGCCCCCCTGCCCACCAGTCCTCCCTTTCTCCTGGGGGGGTCCCATTGATACCCAGGTGGCAAGGAAGCAGGAAAACCAGATTTTATTGATGAACGTGTCTTTCCAAGGAGACATCGGCATCCCCTGCCCCACCCTGGAGCCTCAGGGGGAGCTGGTTTCCTTCAATGTTTAATATGGGATGCTTAAAGTATCAAAATAGTGAGAGAAGCCTCAGCAAGTGCAAAGGGGGAGGGATGGGGGTCCCGGAGCCGAGGAGGGCTGGGATGCTAGGTTGCAGGACCACAGCAAGAGCTGGGTGTTAGTGGGCAGGGAACGAGCTGGGGGCAGGGAATAAATGAACTTTGAAAGCTGCAGGCTCAATACTAGAGAAATGGAAAAGTTACAAAAATACTGCAGATCTTGGAACACGATGCAGGCACTTGGGAAGGAGGAGGGCAGAACTGGCTGGGGCCGTGGGCAGGGAGAAGCCCTGCGGGAAGGCAAAGAGCGGCTCTGGGATTGAACCCATCACACGCCCTGCATCCTGAGCAGAGGCACTGTGGCTTCCAGCCCTGCTGCTCCCCAGAGGGGCCCAGGCTGAAAAAGATGCTCATGGGGGGACACTCAGTGCCTCCCGGGAAGTTGTGGAGGGAGAGGAAGAGGAGGAGAAGGAATATTCAGCCAGCAATAAGGCATTGGAGGTGAAAGGCGGCTCCGTGCGAGAGCTTAGCTAGGGACCATGCTTCTCCCTGCACCCATCGCACAGGAGAGGGCAAGCTGCCAGCCTCTCCCCCTCCTGTGTGGAGGAGAGAGAAGAAAGGAGCACAAGTGGGAACGACGAAGGCACACGGAAAAATCCCCTATAATGAAGAGCTCTCCAGCCCTGCACGCTGGTGCTGGCGGAGGAGCCCTGAACCCGTGCGCCCCGGCTCCCACCCCTGCTGTGTCCCTCCAGGCACTCTGGCTGTGCCCTGGGTGCGTGTGGGAAGGTGGGCTGGGTAGCGAAGCGGCGTTGCTGGTGCGGCGCCGGCTTGGAGCAGCGGCTGGGTTAGTCCCGGTGCTCTGGGTGCAGGCAGAGCTCTGGTCTAGCCCAGGCAGCCCTTCGCTTGAGGCGGGTTGTCTTAAATAGGAGCGGGCGGGCAGGCGGGCAGCAGTCTGTGCGGTGAGCGGCAGGAGGGCGCGGGGCTCAGTTCTGCTCCTCGTCCCGCAGCTCCGAGGGCAGGAACTTGTACTGCTGCTGCCGGATCATAGCCAGCTTCTTCCGCGCCTCCTCCAGCTCCCGCTCCTTGCGCAGCATCTCCTCCTGGGCGGCGATGATCTGCCGGGAGAGAGCCCTGGGGTCACAGCTGTCTCTGACAGGGATGGCTGGAGCCTCTGCCATGGCAATGCCGACCCCAGAGCCAGGCTCTCTGCCTGCTGCTTCCCACCCGCAAAAGCCTCCCTGGGCTGGTGTGGCCCCAGGGCACGAGGGCTGTTGTCCCTGCGGTGGGACCACGGTCCTCTGGAGATAACGGGGAGCAGCCCAGCTGCCGCAGCCCAGCCCCATGCACCCTGTAGAGGGTCTCAGCTGCAAGCCTGTGGCCTGGAGGCAGTGCTGGGACCTGTGGCACCCCCGTCCCAGGCAGCTCTCACCCCTTACCCAATGTTTTGCCCTTCACATGTGTCATGG